TGCAAATGAAAAGCAGCAAAGCAATATAAATAAGAACAATTTTGTATGGAAAACAAAAGAAATGTATAATTAAATAATATTTTATTTAATAAAGGTTATAAATTTGATATTTTTTTTTGGATAGATGAAAAATGGTATGATATTTTTTTTAATGAAAAATATCACAATGTTATATGATCTTTAATTTAAATAATTCCTTTGTATGTATATTAATTATATTTCTATTTTTTAATTTTTCTTTTCATAGGTTCTTATTTAATATACTTTTAGTTATAAATACTTTTTTCAGAACATTTTTGAATAATTAATTGAAAAATTGTCTATTCTACAATTATATTAATATATTGAGAATTATCTTATTGCATTAAAAATATGTCTGATCCTGAGATAACAAAAGAATACTGGAATGAAGATGCTATAAATTTGGTATTTAACTATCTCGATGAAAAAGAACTGCACAATGCCTTTTTGGTTTGCAAGTAAAATTATGTTAATTATTTATAATATAAATATATTTTGTTGTATGTGATCAATGATTATAGCAAAAATAATGTCAATTATATATCATTGGTCATATAAAAAATAAATTAATTTAAATGTAAAGTATCGTGTACGTAAAATAAAATTCATTTTTCAATGATAACAGATCTTGGTTGAAAATTGGTAAATCTGTGTACGAAAAAAGAGGTCCTATTTGTAGAATGTTAACTAGAAGATACAGAGAAAAACATTTGGTATTTCCTCCAAGAGTAAAAACAATATTAAAACTTGTCGTGAAGTATCCCTCTTTATGTATTTTTACTTCAAATGATTTGGAAAGATTTAACATTTCAGAAGGTAAGTGTAAAATTATTAAGAAATATATTATCGATTTAATGAATAAATATTGATATAGATAAAACTTGTTAATATATTTAAGGATGTCATTGTACAACACTGCCTGCTTATTGTATCTCAATATGGTTAGATATTTTTACTCAGAAGAATCCTGTTTTTTCCCTTTCTGCTGCGTTATTTCCTGATACAACATGTATTAACAAAAAAATGTTCACCATTGTTTATAAACGTTCCCCTGACGGATATTATTGCGAAGAAATTCACGGTAACGAAGGCACAAGATTCCTAAAACCTAATAGTCTAAAAAATTATTTTGATCCTTATATGGAAAGTCAATCTTCTTGGAAATATTGTTTGATTGTATGGTGCAGACAATGTAGATTTAAAATATTTAAAAATTTTATTAAAAGTTTAGCAGAATGGTAATATAATTATATTTTGTTCATATCATCGTTCATTATCGTACACGTTAATAACTCGTTTATATTGTTTTAATATTTTTTGTTATCAGTTATGTAAATAACGAAATTGCTATTTGGGGTGGTACTACGGAAAATATCAATATTTGTAATAGAGATCCTGGCTTAAATACGTGTCGTCATCCTGTCGATTTTTTCTTTTTATTTGTTGGTGGTCGGCAAATGGTAGCCAAGACTTTAATTTTGGATCAGAAAAGTGAGATAAGGAAATTAATAGCGAGAAGGTTTAGAGTTTTAAGCGAAAGGACAACGTTAAGAAAGCACTCGATAGCATTCATGTATATTTCACCATACCGTTTTGATAATTTTTTTAAATGGGAAACAACTTTATTTAAACACTATTTTCCAAACGTCAAATTATTTTATACTGTTGGGAAAGAACCATTTGTTGGAAATGGATTAGTCGGTTTGTAAATATGTTAATGATAAAATTTAATTATCTAATTGTATATTTTCTAATAATTTATTTATTCAATTAATTTTTATTCTAGATCTTTTTAAAACAATGCATTTACCTCAGGTCGATGAAAAGAATATACATACGACTCTCTTGTTAATATCATATAATTAAACATTAGGCAAATAGTATAACTTTTGTGAAAATAAGTAAGATAATTTAAAGGAAATAAAATAGAATATACATCTGTATTCATATATGTTTAAATAAAATTATATAATATTTAAATTAAGATATATATATATAAAAATCAAGCATCATAATATTTATAGTATTTTTATAACGTTACAATTAATTTTATATAATTTATATTACATATATTCAATGTTTATAAATATTTAATTTCGTTTAGAAATAAATACTTTCAAATATAAAAATCATTTTATCTCTTATTATTTTTGGTTTAATTAGATTATTTATCAAATAATTTTTAAGGACAGATTGACATAAATATGTTTTAGATTATACGAAAAGTTTATTTAGTCTTACGAAGTACAATCTTTATTTATAATATTAAATATCAAACTCGTTCTAATTATGAAAAAGCAGATAATATAATCATATTTTAATAAACAGATTACATGTTATCAATCGCGATCGTGTTTGTTATAATATTTTATAAATTTTCCAACGAATTATCCTACATTTCGAATTGTGTAAAAAAACTTCGTATGAAAAATTGCAATCATTAAAAGGAATTGGCTCGGTACTCATTTTCTAAATTTTGTGTTTCTCATTGTATTACAACGTGTATTTAGTATTAGATTAAACAATTCGAATAGAACGAAAAATATTATTGTATTCTTCCAAAATAATTTTGAATATATTTTTTCGGTAAGTAACATTTACGATAATAATATGCAAAGTGAATAATTTTAATATTCAGAAACAATAAAATTTATATTAGGCTGCACTTTTAATTTTGTTTTTAACAAAGAAGAAATATATACAACCTTTATCACGTTATTTTTGACAACATTAAATAAAGTTTACAAAATTAGAAATTTTGATAGAAGAATATTGAGATATTTAAAAGCTTCTATGATCATTTAAATTTTGAAATTTGAAGGTAATATGTGTGTGTGTGTGTGTGTTTGTTTACAAATGTAACAAGCATAACGAGCATTGTTAATCTTAAATAACATCGTTTGTATTTCGTTATTAGTGAAATTTATTATTCATGACACATTGCAAAACTAATTCCATCTTCAGTTTTCGCAAAAATAATATGAATGAGAGTAATTTTTAGTAAAAATCAAAAAAAATGCATATTTAAATGTTTTATTTAATAACGTTTATAAATTATATATATTTTTGTTTTGGATAGACGAAAAACGGTATGATATTTTTTCTTATGAAAAATATCACAATG